TCTCTTGGGTAATATTTTCCTTGTGTCTTTGGTGTTCTTCATTCTCCTTTGCTCCAGGTGGGTTGGGACCAACTGATGCATCTTAGATGGCCACTCACTAGGTTTTAAGACCACAGACACCACTCACCAAAGTGGGATGCAGAACATTTTCTTAATAAACTTTGTTATGCCAATTGACCTAGATGTCCCCTGAAACCATGGCCCCCAGACCCCTGCCCCTCCTACTCTGTCCCTCGAAGTGTTTGGTTGTATTCAGGAAACTTCTTAGCTTTTGGTTTAGTCCAGTTGTGCGGACTTCCCCTGTAGTGTGTGCTGTCCTTCCCTTGACCTAAGATAATTCCTGTCTACTATCTAGTTAGTGAATACCCCTCTCCCTCCCTCTCCACCCTTGTAACCTTCAAAGAATGTTTTCTTCTGTGTTTAAACCTTGAGTTCTTATAATAGTGGTCTCATACGATACCTGTCCTTTGGTGACTGACTAAATTCACCCAGCATAATGCCTTCCAGCTGCCTCCATGTTATGAGATGTTTCGCAGATTCATCGTTGTTCTTTATTGTCGTGTAGTATTCCACTGTGTGAATATACCATAATTTGTTTATCCATTCGTCTGTTGATGGGTACCTGTGTTGTTTCCATCTTTCTGCTATCGTGAACAGTGTTGGAATGAACATGAGTGTGCATATATCTATTCGTGTGACAGCTTATTTCTCTAGGATATATTCCAAGGAGTGAGACTGCTACATCATATGGTACTTCTATTTCTAGCTTTTTAAGGAAGGGCCAAATTGATTTCCAAAGTGGTTGTACCATTTTACATTCCCACCAGCAGTGTATAAGTGTTCCAGTCTCTCCACAACCTCTCCATTATTTTGTGTTTTTTAGATTAATGCTAGCCTTGTTGGGGTGAGATGGTATTTCACTGTAGTTTTGATTTGCATTTCTCTAATGGCTAATAACGGTGAGCATTTCCTCAGGTATCTGTCACCCGCCTGAATGTCTTCTTTGGTGAAGTGCCTGTTTATATCCTTTGCCCGTTTTTTAATTGGGTTCCTGCATATGTTTTGATGGAAAATTCATACTACTCAAAGAATCTCTAATTTTGAGGCTTATAAACACACTTGTGATTGATACAGGGATAATTCCCAAGGCTAAAATTCACATGTGTAAATACTAGACAATAATTCTCAGGTATTTGCTAAGCTAAAGATGTATTTCAAGTCTGCATAACCTAGCCTAAAGTGTTACGATGATACAATAAAGATCACTCCACGTTTTTTTGGACACTTCTCCCAAGCAATGAGAAAGAAACAAAAACTACATCTGGAATGAAACTAGGAGACATCTATATTCCCAAACTACAATAAAAGAACCTGAGAAGCAGAGAGCAGTGGTAGCTGACCTAACAAACCCAGTGAAGTCCCCTGGCACGATAGGGGAGCACCATCTACCTTTTAAAAAAAGTTGTGGACACCACTGATAAGAACAGATTTAAAACTACAAAAACCGAAGGTCTGTGGACTTAGGCTGGCTTGGCCTACGAGACTGAGTGAGTGCCAGTGGCCACCCTTCTGCTCCCAAAGCAAGGCGCTTACCTCAGACATGGAGTACCCGACGATCTCTACCACAGTTGCCGAGATCTTCTCAGGGCTCTGCTCCAGGCTGCCGTACTCCCGCACAAGGCAGCGCACGTTCACGGGGTGCAGGAACATGTGCTGCCCATCCTCCGCTGAAGACAAGTAGTTCTGTCACACAACAGTCTTTGCCAGCACTTGGGACAGGGCCCCTCCTTATAGCTAGGCCTGCCTCTCCCACCCCATACCAAGAGACTCAACACGTTCAGTCCCCAGGACCTACAGGAGATACCTCCTTCTGCTTAGAGACCCAGGTCATCTCTCTGAAGCATCTCCATGGCAACCCAGCCCTCCTACTTGGGAACTCTCACCTTGGTAAAAGTAGTAACAAGGAGAGCTGCTTAGGTGTGTGACACCTGGCTTGGTGATGGGTTCCTGCCGGCGAGACTCAGTACAAATGGTCCCTTCCCCAAGATTGTCATCTGCTAACTCCGAGTCATCACAGGCCTCTAATAACTGCTCAGGTTCCCGTTCAGACGCTACTTCCTCTTCCTCTACCAGAGGGAGAGCAAGAGGACGAGAAGAGTCCAGAGAACAAACCTCCACGGTTTCTTCATCAAAAGCAGACAGATACTCTAGCACGCCCTGTTGGAACAAACTCTAGGTCAACAGAAAGTACATGTCCTGCATTCAGGAAGCAACGTGGCAAAGCTGGGCCCAGGAACTGAGCTCTCTGGATGTTTATCTTAGCTGTGACATTAACCAATTCAGTGTCCGTGCGAAGTACTACTAAGCAGACAGGAAATACTGGTAGACCCCTCTACTCTCAAGAAAGTTCAGGTCTCACAAAACAGTGCCTACTGCTCAACAGCATCATTTGAGGAATGGCAGCCATTCAGTCTGTGACAGGGGCACACTAACCTTCCTGGGTTGGAAAACGGGCTCCTTCGCCAAGGGAGCCATCAGCACCAGTTGTTCCAGGGCAGCCACGACACCAGTGACCTCTCCTCTGCTTTCAGCCAATCCTGACAGAGCCTCCTCCCGAGTCTAAGTCACCAGACAGAAGACCAGAAAACTAGGTTCCGGAAACACACTTTAGTTTGAAGGGCAAGGGCTTAAAACGGCCTCTCTCAACAGGAGCAAAATTTAAAAAGTAACAAGACCCAATGGAAAGGGTTAGGTACTCAAAATTCTGACTCTTAAAGGGGAACAGGAAGCATGATGCCTATCTCCCTCTCCTCAACCTCCTGGTAAATTAAGCTTCTGGTATCCACAAAAGATGATACCCTGCTCAGAATCTCTGACAGTGACAATACTATAAAAAAGGTTCCTGAACAGAAGTGTAAGAACATACATCTAGTCTTCCAGGTTTTACACACTATGTTCAGAGAGAGCCCCATAGTAGGAGGCAGGAACTGGCCAACCCTCACCTCAACCTGGACAGATTTACTTCCGTATAATTTTTCTTCTAACTAAAATGGCATTTGAACAAATACTTTCACAGAGTAGAAAGATAAAAATTAAATACACAGGACCCTGTCACAGAAGATTTGGGTGTCAGAGAGATAGGAACTCAGACATCAGCTTCACCCCTTATATGTCTTAATGGAACTACCTAACCCATGAATTCCATTTCCTCATCCATGAAAGGGGATACCTGTATATATCACAGTGAAATACGAAGTTTAAATAAGATAAATTTAAGTAAAGTGTTTAGCACAAGGTCTGCCATATGCTAATCACATAATAATTGAGGGCTTTTATTATTTTAATATAGATCAGCAGTTCTTAAAGTGTGGGTTGGGGAGAAACAGCATCATAATCACCCTGAAACCTGTTATAAGGTAAGTTACTGAGCCTACTGAGCCCAGACCTATTGAATCAATCTCTCAGACTCTCAGGGTGAGGCTCAACAACCAATGATTTGGATACTTGTTAAAATTTAAGAATCTCTATTGTAGAAGATGTAGGACTTAAGGAATTCTATATTTAAAGAATTCCATATTTGAGTAATTCTTACTGCTTCAAGATCCTCAGCAGGTATTGCTAGAATGTGCTGGGGTGGCCATAATACTTTCTCCACAATCTCTCTCAAATAAAAAAACCTCTAAACAAATCCGAAGTGTTTTCCTAGAAAACAAAAAACCCACATTGCTTAACTAAAAACAGAGCTAATCTTAGAAACTCCACTATCACAATTAGTTATAAAATTAATAATTTTGACTCGTTCCTTTCAGCTTAAGAGCTCTAAAAACCACTACGTCAGCCCTTCCCTCCCATCACTAGACCAAGCCCAGAGCAAACTGGCTTCTTCTTTTTTTTTTTTTTCCCATTCCCTGATTATCTTAAATGTGGAGTGGAGGTAACTTATCCCCACCATCCATTCCCTTACCCCCCTAACAGAGAGTAGCAAGGTTCAGCATCTCCGATTTTTTTCCCTCACCCCCCTAACAGAGAGTAGCAAGGTTCAGCATCTCCGATTTTAAGTTTTTGGTACATCGTCTCACCTTGAGCTCCTGGATAGCTGCCTCGATAAAGCACGACTCGGGGGTGTGCTTCTCCTCTGCCAGTTGCTGCTCTAATGCCACTTTCTCCTCCAGAACCACCCGGTGCAGTACCTGCTCCTTAGAGGCCAGCAGCAGCTTGGAGTACTGGCTGTGCTGTTCATCTACAAGAAAGCCAGCAAGATTCAAAAACTGCAGCACTCCAAGATCGTGACAGTGTGGCTAAGCAGGAACTTTCATATACAGCTTTTTATCTGAAGGTGAAGAGAGTAACTCAGAATAGTTTCCTGAAACATAAATCTAACAACGCCCTTAAAATAAAATTTATAACTCTGACCCTATAATACAAGAAATCTAAGGAGACCAGAGATGCCCTAAAAAACTGGAGTCAAATATAATGTTCATTAATTACAGCACTGCCTGCAATTTCTGAAAACCTGAAACTAGCCAGCTAATCCAACAATAAAGGAACGGCTAATTACATGATGGTATGCTCATTAAATAAAACTTTGCAGACACTAAAAATGGTTTTCTAAGAACAGGCATTTAGCAACAGGGCATCTCCAAGACTGGGCACAGTGCCAGGCACTCTTCAACAAGCCTTATAAAATGAAACTTTGTGATATGTATGCAACTAAACCAAGCCTGAAACCAAGAGTTGAATCACCCTCTGCAAACTCCATCCTAAGAAACCAGAAGCCAAAGGCCAATTCGAAAATGCTAGAACTGGCTTACCTAAAGGTTAAATTTCTGACACTAGAAAGATACCTTCAATAGGGTGTACCCAGGATTATTTGCCCCCAAAGTTAACAGAGCTTACCTCCTAGATGAATGGGATGATCTACATTCATCCATTTGGATTTGGGCAAGGCCACCAACACGCCTTTCTCTCTCTTCATCAACTGCATTGTGATAGTATCACCAACAACATACTGACGTGACTCTGTGGCAACAACACTGTAACATGGACATTTAGACACAGGAAGGCCAGGAGTTATCAGACTAGTGTCTAACCTAGTCACTGCCTCAATCTCACCTCTTGAGATCCTTCTTATGCACAGAACTGTAACAGATGGGACATTTACTCCAGGTCTTCTCACTTAGTGAAAGATAGTGCAGGATGCATGCCCAGCAGAAGATGTGTCCACAACGGGTTATCTTGGCTGCGGTAGGTGGATATAGGCATATTGGGCAAGATGGCACTTCATGGCTACAAATGCGCTGAAACAAAACACCGCCACAAGTTTCAACTGTTTTTAGAATTAACGAAGATTATCAAGGCTAAAGCCTCTCCTCTCCCATCCCAGTCCCTGTACATCTCTACTCAACAACACATCTTCTAAACATTGTTCAACAAAGCACATATAAGTAAGATGGCACTTTAAGCCAATCATTAAGGAAACCATAACAATAGTTTAATATAATAGAACAACTACATAGAGGTATTTCTGGAAACCCTGGTTGGTGTAGTGGTTAAGTGCTATGGCTGCTAATCAAAAGGTTGGTGGTTTGAATCCACCAGGCCCTCCTTGGAAACCCTGTGGGGCAGTTCTACTCTGTCCTATAGGGTCACTATGAGTCAGAATCGACTTGACAGCAACTGATTTGGTTTTTGGGTTTTTTTTTATAGCAATGGAAAGGAGCCCTGGTGGTACAGTGGGTAAGCACTCAGCTGCTAACCCGGAGGCTGGTGGTTTGAACCCACCAGTCCCTCCTCAGAAGAAAGATGTAGCAGTCTGCTTCCATAAATATTCATAGCCTTGGAAACCTTGGGTTTCTTAGAAACCAGAAAGCCTGTTCTGTCCTATACAGTTGCTGGAGTCAGAATCAACTCAATGGCAATGGGTTTGGTTTTCTGGTTTTATAGCAAGGGGAAAAAATGACTGAAATCACTACATGATCCCATTTACGTAACAAGATTTAATATGCACACATACATATAAATGCATTAAAAACGTCTGAAGTAATTTACCAGTTATTTCCATGAAAGAGTTAATGAGGACTTTGATTTTATATGATTCTATTTTGCTAACCAATGCACGTGAAGCTTAAGTGTTAGCAGAACTGAAGTTTAATGGTCACAGAAAGAAATTTTGGTCTTTAAATGTCATTCTAAGAAGAAGTTCTGCATTTTCATAGTAACAAGAATCCAGGTGTTGGGGCCAAAGAAAAATAAAAGCCTGCTCCCTAAAGCACTTGTCATTATGAATGTTACTCTATATCAAGATCAGCAAAGGGAAAGCTAGAGCCCATAACTTCAACAGAAAACAGTGACTTTGACAAAAGTGCAGCTGTGTGGCTTCTTCACCTACCACAAGGCTTAGCCCAATTTTTTATTATCTCAAATGGCCGTAAATGAAGCAATGCCCCACGTAACAAGCCCATCCTGGGTGTCAGGAGGATAACCAGTATCCCTCAGATTCCCCTGGTTACTACTTCCCGGCAGAGAGGAATAGTGGACATCTCTGCCCAGGTACGTTCAGATCAGAGCCTTCCAACACCCCATCCCAGCAGGCCAGTGCCAATTAGTCACAAACTGAACTCTAGGAGAAACCAGGACTGATCTCTGGGAAAATGTCTCCCCATAAGGACATGTTGGAAAAGGCATCAGCAGTGAACACAGCCAACAGCTGCTGGGTCACCCCTGCCCCTTCCTTTAGTTCTCTCTCCCACTAACAGCTCATAAGCTTAGCTGAGCTACTCACCACTTGTTCCACAAAGTCCCAGTTGACTAAGGTATCAGGATCAGCAAAATGAGCTGTGTAGTCTTGGTTTTCAGACACCACAAATTGGCAGCTAGAAAGAGGGAGGAAGATAAGGAAAAGGCAGGCTGTGAGAAACTACTAACAAGCCCTCAACAGAAACTCATCATCTCATCACTCAGAATTCAAATGCAGGCCATCAGCAGCCATGGTTTATGAAGCACTGTCCTAGGACATCAGCCTCAGTGCTGAGCCCTGGCTCTGGAGGAAACCCAAAGGTACAGCGGGTAGGAGTTTAGGTCCATGAACTTGGTTTCTTCTGCTTCCAAGCCCAGCCAAGTTCCCTGTAGGCCTCCCTGGAACTAAAATTAACCCAGACTGTGGCTCCATTAACCAGCAGGAAGCCAGACTTCCACCCTCATCCCCAGGAACTCAGCTAGTCTTCAACGTGGTAGAAAAGGCTATGCTCATTCAATCACTTAAGTATCAGTTTATATAAGGTACAAGGTTGTTACTTCAGTCTAGATACAAGGTCAAATCTTACATGATGACTAATTCCATACAAAAGGAAACAAAAAGGAACCAGTATTTGAGCAAATGTGTGCTAAAGCACTTCAACTTATTGTCCCTCAGTTCTCCCTTAAATAATTTCCTCATCTTTATAGATGAGAAGTTAAATATCAATGTGGTTACATAAATAGCCCAAAATCAAAGGCCAAAACAAGATCCAAATCTGGGACCATTCCAAAGCAAACACTTTCTACCTCATTATGATATTAAAGACACTTATTTACTTAGCGTCATATTCTTTTAAGCACCAAGAACATCCACCAAGATTTCAGTGCTTACAAAAAAAAAATCAGATCAACTCCTACAGCAGTTTAAAGGAAACCTCCTCGCAGTTGACAACTCCCCAGAGAGGCTCAATTTCACTTTTCTTTTAAGAGTAGCTATACTCACTTGGCCTGTAAAAAGAGTTCCTTGTTAAAAGGCTTATGTCCCCACTTGTTCCTTTTTCCCCAGCTGCCATGTCCACTGCCTTCAAAGTGACCCGCCTGGCCACGGGGTTCAAAAGTGAAATTCAACAAGTGATTCAGGTTGATCTTCTTAGGACCAGAGAACTGGGCAGGGCTAAACTCTGCCCGTTGAACCTCTGCTACCTAGAAAGGATGAGAATGAACCAATATTTTTTAGATTAGGATGATACTTACTGATTTACAGCAGACAGTAGCAAGACTCCTCCTTGTACACAGCTTAAAATAGAAACTATAAAAAACACAGGCTTCAATCAAACAATCTTCCTAGGAGGGGGTAATGTGAAAGCCTACCCAAGGCTTGGATGGGAGTAGAGAGCAGGGAAAAGAACCTTTAGCATACAATTACTTAAACTGTTTAGTCTGCCCTGCTAAGTGGCAATCAACCATTAAATAAACCCCAGCATGAACTCCTGTAGCTATCTTCAAGTACAAAAATTTACTTCTTGTTGTTGTTAGTGGCTGTCAAGTCAGTTCTGACTCACAGCAACCCCATGTACAACAAAACAAAACACGACCCAGTCCTGCGCTATCTTCACAATATTTAGTATGCTCAAGTCCACGGTTTCGTCCACCGTGTGCTCTTGGGTGCTTCCCAACCTAGGGGGCTCATCTTCCAGCACTCTATCAGACAATATTCTGTTGTGATCCACGAGTTCTCATTGGCTAATCTTCAGAAGTAGATTGCCAGGCCTTTCTTCCTAGTCTGTCTTAGTCTGGAAGCTCCACTGAAACCTGTCCACCATGGGTGACCCTGCTGGTATTTGAAATACTGACGGCAGAGCTTCCACCATCACAGCAACATGCCAGCCACCACAGTACGACAAACTGACAGGTGATGCAAAGATTTACTCACTGGATTAATTTTTCAACAGTCCTATAGGACTTTTACACCTTCACTCTTGTTAGCTACTTGTTCTTTGGTTTGCTTCTGACAGTGTGTGGAGCCACACTCTGGAGGCAGCTTGCAGGCAGCTGCTAACTGCCATAGGCTTAAGGATCCTGCCAGAGATCTCCTATCTAAGAAACATACTGCTCTTCATTGTTAATTAAAACTGACAGCATCAGAACATGTAGGCAGACTAGCTGTTCAGAAATAAACCCGATCAGCAGATTCAGAAATAGTTTAGAAAGTAGCAACAAACTACATATGAGAAATATCACTTCCACACAATGATTGAAAAAAAAAATCATGTAAGAATTTAAGTATTTCAGCCCTCTTAACGTTCCCAAGTTGAAGTGGTACAGATACGTGCGCATTCTTACCCGCTTTTCTGATTTAGTATTATAAACACTTTGCTACATCACTAAATGTTAGTATACAGTCACTTTAAATGGTTACCATTACGTTACCTGGGTATACTATTGCAGGACACAGACTGAAGCTTTTCCATTGCAATAAAATAATGCTGCGATAAGCACCCTTTTGGATAGATCTTTGTGCACATATTTGGGCCTCTACATTTATTTATTTTGAATGTATAGGGAGAATTACTGGGTCAAAGGAAATGCAAATTTAAGACTTCTGCTGCTTAGTCAAATTCGGAGATTTTCAGTTAAGTTAAAGCACACGCACATACATGATAAAGAATCCAATGGTACAAAAAGGGATATGGTGAAAGGTACCTTCTACTCCAGAGGCAACAATTACATCCTCTGAGATATTCTATGCATATAGAATCGTAGTGTATACCCTTTAAAAATAAAAACAAACAGTGGCATACTATCCATTTATCCACCTTCCTTTTTTATCTTAATAGATCTTGGAGATAATCCCACCACACCATATATTGTTTATGTATGTCACCACAGGAAGCCCACGACTTCCAGGTCCCTTATCTAGAATCCTCTAGACTTTCATCTCCATTCGGCTCTGGAAGTTGCCTAATCAGAAAACCTTTCACCTCCAGTGCCCCAAACTTAGACAAGAGCTTGTGCTCAGTGAGCAAAATCCCCCACAGCCTCGACTTTCTATCTTCACCCTGCTGTCTTAGCTAGCTCACTGTCACTCTCTCAACGTAATTCCTGATTATCCATCCAATACCCTGACCTCTCAGTTCCCTGACTTCCTCTCCTCCAATCAGCTTGCTCTCTACCCTATCTTGGCCTCCCACTCCTACAGTACCTTCTAGAGTTGTGCTGTCCAATACAGAATTACTAGCCAGGTGCAGCTACTGTGTAACACTTGAAATGTGGCCACTACCACATGCTGAAATAACATTTGAGATATACTGAGTTAAATACATTACAGTTTCACTCACTTCTTTTTTACCTTTTTAATGTGGCTACTAAAAATCGTAAAATTACACATGTGGCTCACATTTATTTCTATTGGACTGTGCTGTTCTTCAGTCTAGACCGTGCCTCCTACACAGTTTAATTTTGAGCATCCCACTTTGCAACCAGCAACTCATCTTTTCTAGTTTGTTCCCTTTATTCCTGAGTCCAACAATTCTTCTCCCCCTACTAGGATCTTCAAAACAGTGATTTCCATCTCCTTATGCATCATCTTTCCTTATTTGGCTTAGACCCCAAGGCCCGTTGCTCCTCTTCTTTTCATCTGTTGTACTGACCTCGCAAAATTCTCCCGATTAAGCTAACTCTCTGCCTGTGTCACACCAGCACCGGAGCAGGTGAACATGGCTGAAGAACACACGCACACCGACTGTTTCACTAAAGGAGATCCTTCTTCTGCCTGGCCTTAGTGCTGCAATCCTATTACACTTCCCTAGTCTGTTTACTTCCCCTCTCCCAGACAACTCCTTCATTCCTCAGGCTTCCAAACCTCCTCCCTCAGCTCACCTTATACATTCATTTCACTGAGAAAATAAGTAAAATCAGAAGAGAACCCCTATGCCCTCTCACCAATAGTCTGCCTGCCCTCTCACCAACAGTCTGCCTTCCTCCTTGTTACTGGAATTGAACTGGCTCCTGCCCCTATCTAAACCAACTCCTCCACTTTTGCACTGCATCACAATTCCTCTCTTACTCAAGGGCACTGTTCCAGCAATTCAATCCCTCCTTCTCCTGCATCAATTTTTCCCTCTCACTGGATCAATCCTATTAGCAAAGATATGCTATAATTTCTCTAATCTTAAAATCCCTCCTGACCTCGCATTCCTCTCAAGCTACGGCCTCACTTCTCTGCTCCCGTTCAGAGCAAAGCCACTAAAAAGTATGGTCTATACTTGCTATTTCTTCCCACCCTCGCGTTCTCTCTTGAATCTATGCCAATCAGGTTTTTTGTCCTCACTGTTCCACCAAAACAGCTCAAGGCCAAATTTTCAAATCTAGTGGTCCATTTTCAGTCCTACTCTTAGCCTATCTACGGCACTTGACAAAGCTGATCACTTCTTATACATGGCTTGAAGGACCACACACACTGTCTGTTCTCTTCCTCCCTCACTGACCATTCCTGCACTGTTCTCTTTTGCTGGTTCCTTATCATCCTGACTGTGGGCTCAGTCCTTGAACCTATTCCCTTTTTGCTACACTCACTCCTTAGTTCCATAGCTTTAAACACCAACTACATGCTGACAGCCTTCCAGCTGGATCTCCCCCTTAAACTCCAGACTCACAGGTAACTGCCTACCTCTACTTGGATATCTAATAGCATCTCCAGTATAACATTTCCAAAATGAAGTTCTTTATCTCAGCTCTCACTCCTTCCTCCCAAAAATCCTTATAGAAGAAAATTCCCTCTTGAAATCTTCCCCATTTCAGCAAGTGGTACCTGAACTAGATTCATGCCAAAAACATTATTCATCCATTTCTCTGCTCAGATATCAAAAAATCTTGCTGGAGATTTGAGAACCTTGACATAAATTCATCTATCTTTGAGCAGCTGATATTTGACAAAAGGCCAAAGTCTGTTAATGGGGAAAAGACAGTCTCTTTAATAAACAGTGCTGGCATAACTGGATGTCTATCTGTAAAAAAATTAAACAAGATCCATATCTCACACCATATAGAAAAACTAACTCAAAATGGATCAAAGACCTAAATATAAAATTTAAAACGATAAGGATCAAGGAAGAAAAAACAGGGGCCCTAATACATGGCATAAGTAGTATACAAACCATAACTAACAATGCACAAACACCAGAAGAGAAACTAGACAACTGGGAGCTCCTGAAAATTAAACACCTATGTGCATCAAAAGACTTCACATCAAAAGAGTAAAAAGAGAACCTACAGAACGGGAAAAAATTTTTGGCTACAACATATCCAACAAGGGTCCAATCTCTACAATCTACAAATTACTACAACACCTCAATAACCAAAAGAAAAATAGTCCAATTAAAAAATGGGCAAAGGATATGAACAGATACTTCACCAAGGAAGACATTCAGTCGGCTAACAGACATATGAGGAAATGCTCACGATCATTAACCATTAGAGAAATGCAAATCAAAGCTATAATGACATACCATCTCACCCCGACAATACTGGCACTATCCAAAAAAACACAAAATAACAAATGTTGGAGAGATTTCAGGGAGACTGGAACTCTTACGCACTGCTTGTGGGAATGTGAAATGGAACCACCACATTGGAAAACAATATGGGGCTTCCTTAACAAATTAGCAATATAAATACCACACCATGCAGCAACCCCACTCCTAGGAATATACCCTAGAGAAGTAAGAGTCGTCACACAAATAAGACATAGGCACACACGTTACCGCAGCACAATTCACAATAGCAAAAAGATGGAAACAACGTAAATGCCTGTCAACAGATGAATGGATAAACCAATTATGGTACATACACACAATGGAATACAATGTCACAATAAAGAGTGATGACTCTGCGAAACATCTCACAACATGGATGAATCTGGAGGGCATTATGCTGAGTGAAGTAAGTCACAAAGCACAAATATTGTATGAGATCACTATTTTAAGAACTCGAGAGGTTTACACACAGGGAAAAAAAAACATTATTTGATGGTTAGGAGAGTAGGGAGAGAGAGGGAGGGGAAATCACTAACTAAATAATAGATAAGTGTCAACTTTGGTAAAGGGAAAGACAACACACAATATAGGGGAAGTCAGCACAACTTGACAAAAGCAAAGGCACAGAAGTTTCCTAGATACATCCAAATACTGGAGGGACTGAGTTGA